TAGTATAAATTAAAGTACCTGTGCTATTACCATATTATTATTATTGATTGTTTTGTTATGTAATAGTATCATTGTGGTCTGGTATTATTGATTGTATTAGTAGTGTGTATGTTATTATTATTATTATTGTTTATTTCATTATTTGTGTAAGTCGAGGACGACCTTTAAGCAAAGAGGGGGGAATTGTAACTATTATTCCTAACTCATTATCTATTCATGATACTAATGATTATTAATGTTTATTAATGAGTTGTAATTATGATTCTTAGTTCTTCTTGTGATAAGATTTTTGCTACAAAGTTGCTTAACGACTCTGCCGCGTTTAAGCCTGGCGTTACAAGGCCCAGAACTATAGTAGATTTACTGAGAATTTGATGCCGAAAAAATAATAAGGACAAAAACTCCATTTTGATAATCTTTTCTGAGGCGTGTCATTAGGAACAAATTTGAATTTTCTAATATAAATACATCTACTTATGCTGTATAGAAAGTTTGAACTGATTCCAATCAAATTCAGATTTTTAAATAAATTTTTAGAGTTGCTCAAAAATGGGCCAATGTCCCTGTACTTTTTAAAATAATTATTACTGTACATGTGGGAATTTACAAGGATAGTACAGGGATTTCGGCCAAATTTCACTAAAAAGGCAAAATGAGAATTCTTCATTTAAAATTTTTTTGATGTATATATATATATATACATGTATTTATGTGTAGAAATTTTGAATTGATTCCGGTCAATTTTGAATCCTTTGTCAACTTTTAAAGTTGCTCAAAAATTGAGCTAAAGTCCAAATTTCATCAAAAAATGGCTTAGTAAAAATTCTCCATTTTAATAATTTTTTTCTGATAGATATACATGTACCGGTACTTATGTTGCGTAAAGTGTTTTAACTGATTTCAATCAAATTTGCAATGTTTTTGATTTTTTTAATTGCTCAAAAATTGGGCCAAAGTCCCTGTACTAGTCTAGTCTATATAGAGTACAGGGATTTTAGCCAAATTTTGCCCAAAAATAGCCAAGTCAAATTTCTCTAATTTTAAAAATTTCCTTATATATAATATAAAATATTATACATATAGCTATGTTGTGTAGAAAGATTGAATTGGTTCCAATCAAAAATTGATTTATTATGAATTTTAAAATTTGCTCCAAATGCTTGCAAGGTGACAAAGCTTACTTAGCATGCTTTATGGGAAACCCTGCACGATCTAGTTTGACAAGTTCAATGCCATGACTATCCTACCACACAATACATGTATAAACATACTTGTATCATAATTATAGACTCTAGTTCCTATGCCTCAATCTGTTACATATAACTTGCCTGATAACATCCACTAGCCAGATCTATTGCTAGTTTTCTAATTGAAAGTCATGTTGGATGCTGTTGACAAAAGATAAAGAGACAAAGTTTACTTATCAAAAGTAATAAAATTTAATTCATGTATCAAAGCTCCAGTCAAGATTGATGAGTTCATCTGGTCCTACATTCAACAGAGAAGGAGAAGTGACAGGTGCAGTTGCAGGGGTAGCAATATGAGGCAGGTCATCATTGAGATGTGATAAATTCAAGTGACTCAGTATAATTTTCTCTGTATTGAGGGGAGAGGAAGTGAGAGAGGGAGAAAGGATTGTACTAGTAAAAAGAGATTAACTGTGTCAATACCTTGAGTATTATATTCCTCAGTTACATTATCAGGAAAACAAGAATGAAGAGCATTACCATCAGCACTGATAGTAGAAGCCTAGATGCATGTATGATAATTACACATTCATTATCATTAAATAAAACTATTTTGTCCATCACAATACTAACACAATTTACCTGCATTGAACTCTCAATAATACTAATGGTCACTACAGCATCTTGTATACTGACTTGAGGATGAAGCATCAGTTTAGCATGAGCTG